GAGAGAGAGAGAGAGAGAGAGAGAGAGAGAGAGAGAGAGAGAGAGAGAGAGAGAGAGAGAGAGAGAGAGAATGGGCCATAGATTCAAGAGCACAAGATGACGCCATTTCTTCAAGGACCTACCCGTTCCAGCAGGATGCAGGGACGACATGTGGAGACTTCCAACTGATCTTTATATGCTTTAGGTGATAGGACAGCCCATTAGAGGAAGAAGAGAGGTAGAAAGGACATTTATCGTGGGATTTAGGTCACAGCTTAGATTTATCAAAAGTGTACAATTCCGGAACTAGTATGTTCTACTTTGCAGCTTGTCTGGTTACATTGAATATCTTTAGATTCTCTTTGTCGTAAAAAAGGTGGAAATGAATGAAAGCTAACAGAGAAATATTGTGCCTAAAGAGAACCCAAAGGAAAGCATGAAAAGAACTGGGGGAAAATCAATCTTTGCTTCGGTACTGGTTCTGGATCTCCCATAGCAGTCACCTGTGGACCCTCGGTCAACCACAATGAAGGGGAGCAAAGTATCTAGGCTCCAAATTCTCGTTTGCAAATGCGATCATGAAAGGAATTGAACGTTTGGAGGCCATCAAGGGATAGAGGTCTGACTTACCGCTCTCAAGTGAGATATTTCAGATGTTCAGATAAGTGCCTGCATGACCGAATGGATGCCAATGATGGATTGGTTGTGTGCGAGTATGCCTGATTGATTGTATATATGAATGTGAACGAGTTCCGCTATGTCTACATATTTCATCTCGTAGTTCTCCGTTCACACTTCAGCCCCATCTTGTCCAGGTCTTGATGACAATGCCTCCATTACAATCACATTTTACAATGACATTACATAACCCATGCAATGTGGATCATTTATGCCATCAATAAGCCCATGACACACGACCAAAAACCTTTTCTCATTGGTACAGAGCATTAATGTTAGCAGCACTAGTGGAAACACGTGTTAAGAGATGACCACTCACTCTTCTGTTGCATACTGCCTCTGTGCCCCTGCTTCAATAAGAAGTTCATGCAGCTGATCCCAACCTAGAGTGTGGGTTTGACCTTCAGCTCCTGGCCCAAACTTAAACAGATAGTCCTTCGCTGAATCGCTCGTCATCCTCTGAATCTCTGTATCCACAGTCAATAGCTGCACACACGCTTGGCACAGATGGCAAACCAGGTCAATCTAATCAACATTGTGCCAAAACAGCACGAGTAAAACCCTACCCTGTACATCTCAGGAAAAAAGGTCCACCCATCAAGAACAAGTGGAACATCGGGTGCACCTGGGAACCTAGAAGGCATCTACGAGACGCCCATACAGCTATTGAAACAGGAGTTTAAAACGAGGAAGAGCTGGGGTTGGGGTAGAGTTATTCAACTTATTCTAGTTACCACAGGTTTTTCAGGCAGTCCAGAGTGGTGGATTGGGAAGGATTACGCTGGCATTACTCTGGTTGTTTTCAAAAATGTTTCTCTTCGAGAGATTAGAACTGACAAGGGAGGGGACTGTCTTCACGAATGTGCTCACTGACTCTCAATCCTTTGATGTGAATTAACCAATGCTGCCAGGGCTCCTCCGGTGCTGTAACATGGAGAGGTGTTATGAGTGCGGTTCAATGTATTTGTCTGACTTGCCGGTGGAATAAGAACCGGACTGATCCTACCCAGAAAATGGATATGTAGCCAGAGCCAGGCCCATACGGACCTTTCTTCTGAAAAAAAAAAAAAAAAAAAAAAAAAAAAAACGGCATCGAACTCATCTTAGGTCACCTTGATGTTATGCTACTGTCAGATACTAACGCTGCCTTCTGACTGTTCCTGCTCTACGGTCAGGCCAACTGGCTACAGGTTCACCAACTGGTCAGCTCCACACCACGGAACAGGCCATGTGACTCTGGGGTGAAGACTCGCAGAATACCCACCATCGCATCTCAAACCTTGCCATACAATGTGATGACAACAATGGTTGTGGTTAGGAGGACGCGGACATTATCACAGCACTGATGAGCATGAAGGAAAGGAGGGAGGGTGGGAGATAAAAACAAGGGTGAGGCAAAGCAGGGACTCAAATAAGCAAGGGCACAAGAGAGGCAGGAGGCAGGGAGGACGAATGGAGAGAGGAATGGACGAGGACAGTAGGAGCAAGGAAGGGATCATGAAGGGAGGGAGGGAGCACAAGAAGGAGGAGGGAGGGAGAGACTGAAGGGAGGGTTAATAGATGGAAAAAGAAAAAGGCAGACCCAAAGAGAAGGAAAGAAAGGCAGGTGGGTCGGTGGATGACCAAACAGACATAGACGGAGAAGCAAAACAAAAACAAACGCACAAGAAGTGAAAAGGGACCGAGGGAAAAGAAAAAGAGAGAAAAAGATCAGGCAAAGAAACGGGAAAAAAGCCTTAAAAAGGGCAACAAAGGTAAAAAAATAATTGAAAATTGCACACAAGAAAGGGAAACGCAAAGAAGTGACAGGATGAGAACACAGAAGAGGAGGTTGTGAACGCAGGAAAGGAAAGAAAATAAATGAAATACATCAGAACGAAATGGATCAGAATGAAATGGAGGCCAAGGGAGGGAAATACAAGGGCAGACATATGCAGAAGAGGAAAAAGAAAGAGAAGATGACAAGGGAGAGCCTACTCCGAAGAGGAAATACAGGGGGCACAAATAAGCAGAAGAGGAAATACAAGGGCAGACAAAAGCAGAAGAGGAAATACAAGGGCAGTTATAAGCAGAAGAGGAAAAGGAAAGATGAGAGGCCGAAGGAAAGAAAATCAAATAAAAGAAAAGAAAACACTCTTGCGAGCGCGGCTCACCAGCAGAGCAGAGTGGGTGGCAGCATCAAGATCTGAGCCAAATTGAGCAAATGCAGCTACTTCACAATATTGCGCAAGTTCTAGTTAAGACTAATGCACACTTGTTTCATAGCTTTCAATCGAGCTGCAGAACCTACACGACTTACAGACAATCCTACATTAGTCGCAGGTCGGATTCCACGATAAAACAGTTCTGTTTCCAAAAAGATTTGTCCATCCGTAATGGAGATTACATTGGTAGAGGAGTGCAAGCAGATACATCTCCAGCTTGTGTTTTGATACCCCGACATGTTTGAATTCTGTGGGGGACCACCCTCTAAGCCTAAGTATTTCTCAGTGACCGATAGTGCAGGTCGCATATCATATCAAGGAATTGAAGCGGCGCGTCGTGCCATCACCAGGAAATTTCGGAGAAATGGTAAATATGGGTGAGAGTTTTTCAGATATTCCTATTACCAGCAAACCTACAGAAGTAAGGATGGGAAAAGGAAAAGAAAACCCTGCAGGTTGGATTGCTCGTCACCTCCTGGTTGTAATTGCTCGATCACTTCCTTTCCCACAAAGTGATTGCTTTAGGACCAAACTACGGATTTGGGGGTTGAGAGTTCAAGCCTTTCCAAGCATGGGCCTATAACTCAGTTGGTTAGAGACTTAGAGTGTTACGATCACCTCATATTGATAAGAAGTCTAGAAAACAATTTGAAATGAAAATCCGTAAACAATTGATTGTCATACAGACAGAAACAAGCAATTACGTGAAAAGTAAAGTTTCAATCTTTCTTGCTTTATAGTACGTGTGATCAATTGAGAAGCGGCTTGTTTCATTTCATGCGTTGACAGGAGTGACCAATTTTGAAGAATTAGCCAAAATTTTGACTGGTTATGTATGGATGGTGTTAGTTTGTCAAATGCTCACATGTGGGACCCATTCAAAGAGATCATAAATATGCTTATTATCGTAAAATATATTACCGGCTCTGCTTCGGAACAGAAGAACTCAAAAAGTCTCTTCTAATATAGATCGTGGCATAACTTAATTCTTTTGTTTTCTTACTACTGTTTTAAATCCACCTTTGGTTGATTTTCCCCAAGGAGAAAGCTATTATTTTAGGATCTCTTTTGGGAGATGGTTCACTCAAAATATTCAATAAGAATCATACTCGCGGTGCATGTCGTGCGCGGTGTCGCGGCAGGTGCGGCGCAGAGCGCACCGCGCAGCTGGCGCGCGCATGGCATGCGGCGCATGGGCAAAATGAGGGGTCGCAGAAAAAAAAAAAAAGTTTCGGGGGGGGGTTTCAGGCCCAGAGGAATACCGGGAAAAAAATCGAAGTTTCGGCGCGCAAAATTTTTTACGGACCGCGCGCAGGCCCGGAAACTTTTTTGGGGGGAGATCTGAGTAGTTCGTTTTCAAACTACTCAGACCTCCCTGGCGTGATTCGGCCCTCCCCGACGTGGTCCAGCCCTCCCGGCGCCTCCGTTGGGCACCTCGGTAGTTGTTTTCTCTCCTCCGGCGGCTTGTGTGCTTTGTTACCGTTGTCGAACCAGCCCTTTCGCAGCAGCTTCGGCCATAGCTCGAGGACGAAACAGGAGGCAGCAGCAGGCAGCAGGCGGCACCTCGCGCGGGCAGTGGGAGCGAGGCGACATCGAAGCACCAGTTCAGGTGGGTTGCCACCAGCTCTCTCTCTCTCTCTCTCTCTCTCTCTCTCTCTCTCTCTCTCTCCTTCGAAAGCTCCACCGTCCAATCAACTTTTTTTTCTTTTTTTTTTTGTTACGTTAGCGACACGGCCATTCACTCCTCGGCGTCCTCGCGATGCCCTTCTTTCTCCCTCCTTTCTCCGTCCTCCCTCTTCCGTCCTCCCTCCTCTCTCTCTCTCTCTCTCGCACACACACACACACACACACATACACACACACACATAACCCACACACACACAAAAGAGTGCATATTTCCATCCGATTTCGCTCATCCTATCGATGGAAGTAGCGTGAGGCCAGCCGCCGTGTTGGAGACTTACCTGATGGCCGGTGCGTTGCTCATCCTACCGATGGGAGTGCCCCATGATACCAGCATCGAGGTTGGAGACTTGCCTGCTCTCTCTCTCTCTCTCTCTCTCTCTCTCTCTCTCTCTCTCTCTCTCTCTCTCTCTCT